AGGCACCTACCCACTAAGCCACCCCAAGCACTTACCCACCGAGCCACTTCAAGCGCCTACCGACCGAGCCACTCCAAGCACCTACCGACCGAGCCATTGCAAGCACCTACCGACCGGGCCACTCCAAGCACCTACACCCTGAGCCACTCCAAGCACCTACACACCGAGTTACTCCAAGCAACTGCCCACCGAGCCACTCCAAGCACCTACTGACCGAGCCACTCCAGGCACCTACCGATTAAGCCACTTCAGACACCTTCCGACCAAGCAATTCCAATCGCATTCTTCTTTTCTTACTTCTCTGTCTCTCTCTATCCGTGTGTCTCTCTCTCTCTCCCTCCTCTCTCCCTCTCTCTCCCTCTCTCTCTCTTTCTCTTTCTCTCTCCCTTTCTTTGTCTCTCTATGCGTGTTGTGTTTCTTGAATTCGTTAATAGTGTTGAAATTTAGCAGTTGGTTTGCACCTGACTTTTTTTTTTCTTTTTTTTTTCTTTCTTTTTCTTTTTTTTTTCTTTGCGGGCGTTGCCCGCACCGCCCGCACCGCGGGCGCTTAGCTAGTTTCTATATTGTTGTAGTCTCGCCATGCCGCGCTGAAGAGGAGGATGTGGATGGGGAAATTGGTTACGATGGGTTGAGTGGAGGCGTGCGGGAAGATGGTGACACCAAGACGGGTAGAGTAGAGCTGGTGGAAGAGGGAAGGGGGACAAGGATGCCAGTTGGAGGGGAACGGGGGCCGTCCTACGATTTGGTGGATGGCGATGTAGTCAAGGGGACGGCGGGATAACGACAGGGGACGAAGCCCGAGTGCCCGCATCTCCACATAGGCGAACGGTGGGCCTCTCAGGTGGAGGGGATTGAGCCGGCGTTGGACTTCTTCTGTGGCGTCTGCTTCTAGATCCCTCCGGGGTGGTGATGCCATCTCCTCCGGATTCCTCTTGCGGTAGCTCGGGGTTGCGCGCTGGATCGTCTTGCATCGGCCTCGCGCCTGGCTCGTCCGACTCCTTTACTGGGCGCTTCTATTCTGCCCTCTCCCGTCTCCTCTGAGCCACTGCTTCGTCTTCCTCCTTACTCTGTTCGCCGGAACCGCATGATTCGTCCGATCCACTTTCTTCCGACCCGGTTTCCTCCGATTCGCGATATTCCGGGTCATCCGATCCGGCCTCCGAGTCTTCTTCTTCTTCGTTCGTGTCTTCCCTCTCTTCCTCCTCCTCTTCTTCTTCCTCTTCCTCTTCTCCCGTTCCCACCTCCACTCTTCGGATGATCGGATCCCACAAGGTGATATCGGTCCAATCGATGACCAAATAGTCGCCCGACAAAGGGAGGTAGATGTTATCGCTGTCGAGTTCCGTGCACGTGGACCACAATAGTTGTGGGGCCAACGTTCGAGGGAGCGCCGCGATCGTGGATGGTTCGTCGCAGCGCGACAGGATCTCCAGAGGTAGATCGTCCACGAGCTGGGCCAGGAACACCAACACTTCGTTCGTAATCGACTCGAGATTTTCGTCGCGCACTTTCCCAAAGAGTATCCCCAGGAGCTCCCCCTCCGTACCCGTCCACCCAGGCTTGGGCGATCAGCAGTTCCACATCATCATCGGGAACTTCATCTTCCTCTTCTTTATCTGCCGGCTCGGCCCAATGAAACACCAACTCGAGAAGGCAAAAACTGAGCGCAACGTACGAGTGCCACCACTCCGTCCACTTGCTTGCGTCCAAGATTGGTACGTCCAGCCGCCTGATTCAGAAGGAGAGGGAAGGGTCCGTAGCGGACTGCCATAAGATAGGGAGATCAAAAGGAAGCTCGAAGGTCGAGAGGCGGTGCCAGTTCATTGAAGCGGTGTAAAAGGGAGAAGTTGCGGGAGGACGATCTCCGACGCGTCAAGAGAGATCCGACGTTGGCCGAGGTCGATGTCGTTGGTGGAGTTGATCTGATCGCCCGGTTGGGCTAACAGCTGGACCCAGGCGGCCGTGAGATCCCGTGCCCAGAGTCGTAACTGCCGGAAGACGCCTGTATGAGCCGCTGGATGCAAGGTCGTAAGATCGTCAATGAAGGCGACGATCACTGTCACGTGGCTGACACTCGGTGAAGACAAGCGTCGGAAAGCCGACACCTCGACCAATACTCCTGCTCGCTCGTTGGTTCGTCCAAAGTGAAACTTTGTCGCCGCGTGGATGGCCTCCGTACTGAAGAAAGCCGCGAATCGGAGTAAATCTGGACTTAATCGTGGCCGCTGCACCTGTCGTATCGACGAGATGTGCCCCCCGGTTCTCATTAGTCGTTCGCTAATGACCTGCTCAGTAGAAAAACTCATGGCGATGGGGGAGAAGGTGGAGATGAAAGTTGGGAGGGAGGAGAATCAGAATATTCAAGTTGGAGATCGTTGTCTTCTTCTTCGAAATCGAAGGAAGCCGTGGACGAGGGGAGAGACAAAGAAGGAGGTAGGGGACGAAGATAGGACACATGTCGGATGATCGGTCGAGCTGATCGACTTTCTGACACCTTTGGCGCAAGCCGCACCATGTTCACTCCGCTAGGACTGAGCTCGACTACGTGAAATCACTCGAAGAATCGTAGCGCTATCTTGCCTTGGTGAGCACATTTCCTCACCTGCACTATGTCCCCTAATTTGTACTGGGGCCGGGGTCCAGCGTTCCCATTTCGGGCCTCGTAGCTCCGGACCTGTCGTCCGTGGGCCATTTCGGTCATTCGCTGTCTCTTTCAGGCTAACCGGGGGAGGGCCCTTTCCATCAATTCTAGGTGGCATTGGGCCTTATCCTTAACCGTCGCTCTAGTGGCCCGTTGCAGAAGGGTCGTTTCGTCATTTAGGCTCGGTAAGGCCACACAGGCCAAACTATTGGTTCACAATTGGAAGGGGGTCAGACCGGTAGAGTCGTGGGGTGTTCCGCGGTGAATAGCCAGGATGTGGTCCACGATATCGGGCCAAGGCCTCGTGTTTTTCGATGCGATATTACGCCGCAATGCCATCTTGATTACTCAGTTCACGTTTTCTACCAGTCCGTTAGATTGCCATATACGGGGGGCAGTATTGGGGATGGAGACACCATGTAGGACCAGGGTCCTCAGGACTCCCCTCTGAATTCTGCCCCGTTGTCCGTTAGGATCTCCTCTGTGTCCTGATGCATTCTGAGAAAACGGTTAACATACGGAGCGATCTCCGCCGCCTGTCGTGTCCTGCACGGATACGCCCCGATCCATTTAGAGAAATGATCCACAAATACCAAAAGAATTGAATATTCATAGCTATTTGGTCCAGGGGGCACAACAATATCCGTGGTATCCATACTGACCCTTTGGAACGACCGTTCAACTACGGTGGGCATTATCGATCTCGAAGGCTGAATCGACGCCTTGTCGGCGGCACAGACCAGACAATTTTGGACGATGAATTTAACATCGTCACGAATGTTGGACGAATACCATTCATTCTTATCAATTGTCGCCTCCGTAATCCGGACGGCGAAGTGGGCTGCAGTGTCCTCGTGCGCCGACTTAACCCAGTCATACCTCTTGAACGGATGAGGCACGACCATCCAAATTCCACTACCATCTGTCTTTCGCTTTTCTAACTGCCCCTCGCTCCATCGGGAATCCCGTGCCCTCTCATTGACCCGCCTTCGATCCTCCTTAGTGAATTCTCGGAGGGGGTTCCCAACTACCGCGGCTATCAAAACGGCATTTGTCCATACTTCAGCCCTCCTAAACCTACGAGTCTTTTCCAATCCCTTGGACGTGGCTTCGAGGAATCGAGCTTCGGTCAGGATCTTATCAGTCCGACATAAAGGGCATAGCCAGGTTTTGTCCGCGTTCCTGTACTGAATACAGGAGTCGTGGGCCCCGAAGACACACTGTTGACAATTTATCCATTCGACATATCCTTCCCCGCTAGGACACATAGGAACCGAGTAGACACGCGAGATTGCTTCGCAAAACAACAAAATTTGAATTTGTCGGGCAGGGAGGGAAACGACGAAGATGAGAGGGGAGCGAGGGGTCCTCCTGATATTACCTCCACGTTCCATCGCCACCATGCTTGTCAATCACTGCTTAGAAGTTCGAGACAGGATGACCACTTGTCCCTACGAGAGCCCGACAGTTGGCTCCGGTTCCTTCCAGGGGGTGATCTCCTCGCCCTTGGCCGCCTTGTTGGGTGGGTGCAACCGTTTCACTCAATCAACATTCTCGTGCTTCTCCGTCTTCCGATGGATGATATCGAAATCGTATTCCTGCAGTCGCACCGCCCAACGTCCAATCATGCCCGTGTAATTGGTAAGCCTCTTGAGGGTCAGCAAAGGCCCATGGTCTGTGACGAGGATAAATTTTTATCCGTATAGATACGGATGGAAGTGATAAATTCACCAGACAACCGCGGAGCACTCACCCTGAGGAGCCGAATCGTTCCTTCTTTCATCGAGCACCGTTCGTGAAGCGTACTCGATAACATGCTCGCGACAGTCTTTCTCGTTTTGAGCCAAAATAGCAAAAATCGCCTCAGGCTGCCAGTCCGTAAAGAGTATGAACTGCATCTTGGGCTCGGGCTAGATCAAAATAGGCGCCGTGGCCAAAGCCTCCTTCAAAGTGATAAAGGCCCGCTCACACTCGGCATCCCAACTCAGTGGCCGGTCCTTTTGTAGAAGATTCGTTAGAGGTCGTGCGATTGCTGCGAATCCCTTGATAAATCGACGGTAGTATGAGGCCAGCCCCAAGAAGGTCCGGACCTGTGTCAACGGCGTAGGCGTGGGGGCGTCTCGAACAACCACGAGCTTTCTCGAATCTGGTCTCATCCCTCCCCGGGTCACCGCATACTCTAGGAACGAGATCTCTGTGAGAAAAAACTCACTTTTCTCCAATGCGATCTTGAATCCGGCATCTCGCAGTGCTCCAAGTGTCCCCTTGATATTATGCTGTGCATGGCCGTGAAATGATTCCGAGTACACCCGAATATCGTCCACGTACACAATGATGCAGAAATTGATCATCCCCTGAGTTAGTCTGGTCTTGTTGACGAAGTTCTGAAACGTGACGTTCATTGCTCTCTGGAAAGTAGCTGGCGCGTTGCAAATCCCCATCGGGCAACGAATCCACTGCCAGGTGCCCTCGAATAATACAAAGGCCGTTTTTGGCCGATCCTCCTCCTTAACCAAAATGTGATGGAATCCGCGACGAATATCAAATTTACTAAAATAATTAGCACACCCAATCGCATCCAATAGATCATCAATTCGGGGAAGAGGGTATACATCTTTAATCGTGATGTCATTCAACTTCCGGTAATCAATGCAAATGCGAATCGACCCATTTTTCTTAGGAACTAAGACTACGGGAAATGACCATGGCCAATAGCCGGCTCGATCCATCCGTTCGTTTCGAACTCTTTGATTCTTTGCAAGGCTACTTTTCGTTCCGTAAGAGAGTATCGGTGCGGTTTGCAATCAATCGGCGGGTGGGCCCCCGTCTGAATTTCGTGCWRGATGACTAACGACAACCCGATATCCGTATCTTTTACGCTAATCGCTCCCCGATATTCGGTCAGGATTTCGACGATCACTCGATGGATTTCATCGGGCACGTACTGAGGCACATGCAGCTTGTACGGTTGTCTGTATATCATAATCGTCACCTATTTCATGCCCRTTCTACAGCTGCTTCCCGCAGGAGGAGTGAAGATAAAGGAGTTGTCCGATTGCCATCAGAACACTGTGGCCACCAACTGAGCGTCTTCTTCTCGGATGGCCACGTGTTCTTCCGGGGTCACGCCATCGTTGATGTCCCACCAGCATACCAGTTTCTCGGTGATTCTGATCCCAAGCTCGTAGGGCGTGGAACTGTCGCGCGCAGGGGGTTCCAAAGCCTCGCTTTCGGCACCCTGCCGCAGTAACCAGACCTACAACCCCGAAGATAGTAAGGAACGAGGCAGCCCTGTAATGTCGCAAAATGCCTTTTTTCCCTATATCTTGAGAGAAGTGAAGATGCGGCCTCATACAAGGTCCGAGGGGGTTCCAAAGAATCGTCCATCCGGGATACTTTTGTGGGTACTTGGTTCCCCCAGGATTAATGAGCTCGTTCGCTGCAGATTTCCTTCCGTAAGGATGAACGTTTTCGTGGTCTTCTGTCGGATTGGGTAACGAACCAATTGCTGAGCCATATCCTGAATGACAGGATCGGCTTCATCTTCCCTGTCAGAGTCGCTCGATAGTTCGAATTTCTTCTCCTGGTGGTCCGTTTCTTCAACAGGTTCCCTCTAGGTGATCACACGGAGAGCTTGACACCGCTCTTCGCAAGGGTGCCACCCGACGGAGCCTCACTACGGGGAAGTACACATCCTTTGCAAGGACACTACCAAGATCCGAGATGGCGATCCCCACTGAGAATGTTGTCGTGGGTACTTGGTTCGTTACGGTAGTCAGGACAGACCCACGGAGAAACGATATTTAGAAGCTAGGACGGAGGACGGAATTTCGCCAAGTGTCTGCAGAGCAGAGGTCTGGACGGACCTCCTACTGCTACGGAGACTAAAAGGGGATCCGTTGGAAGAGCTTACCAAGGCGGAACGTCGACGAGTATTGGAGCGGGCTCATGATTATCGCTGGCAGGAATCCATCTTGCAAAAATTGTAAAGACAATGCCGATAGCGGGTCTAACTGGCTGACAGTTCTGCACCCACTCGCTAGGTTCGACGCGCACGAAGAGGATGCGGTCCACTTCGCTGTCAAATACACGGAAAAGACCATTGAGAAGAGCGGATGGTACTGGTCGGGAATTCGGGAGGATGTCAGATAGATCGTCCAGAATTGCCCGGCCTGCGCGGTGGATAAAGCGCTGGTTCGGCGGTTCAGAACTTCAGATGCCCCAGATAATGGTACCGACTAGGGTAGAACACCCCTTTTATCGAGTTAGCATCGACACGACAGATATTAACGTACCGAGGGGTCCTGTCGATCAAGGCGAGCTCAACGTCCTACTAGTGGCCGTCGATCATTTTTCCAAATGGATCGAGGACTATCCCATGACTAGTCGGAACTCGTTAGAAGTAGCTTGGTATATCAACCGCTTTTTATGCATGCACCTGGACGTAGAAGAGGTACACATGGATAAGGGATCGGAATTCGAGGGGGAAGTGGAGCGACATCTCGTAAGGGCCGACATTAGGATTTCGTACTCCCCGAGGCACTGGCCACTGGCCAATCGGCTGGTAGAAAATGCCAACCGAATGATTAAAACTGCCCTTAGACGGAATATTACTGCGGGAGATACTAGACGCTGGCCCGTCATAGTCGATCACATCTTGGCCGTCTATCGGGCTACCCCCCATGGTAGTGTCGGGGTGCTTGCATTCCAGTTTAGGACCAACAGTGTCCCCTGGGTCCAACTGTCACCTCTAGTGGGTATGAAAGTTAGAGCGACACGGGCTCAACACAGAGACAAGGATCAACATTACATGGACTTGATGTCTAGGACTTAGCCCACGTTGGCCCGAAGGCGACAGAAGGTCATGGATCAGACCCATCAACGCTAGATCTGGGATTATGAGAACTGGTACCCATCAGCGGGCCCACTGCCCTGCTATAAAATCGGGGATCTAGTTCAGGTGCGGAAATCCGTGCGCTCCTCCAAGATCCATCCTCGATACACTAGCATTTACGAGGTGACGGAAGTTGGCGCACAAGGCCAGCACCCCGTGAAGCTCGTCCCGAGGCACAACACGCAGGTCAGGCCTCTGACTCGCCACGCTGCTGCCCTCCGCCCATTTCGGCCATCGCTGGGACATGAGAGGACCGTTGCCTCGGCTACGCCATTCCTTTCCTCCTCCTCCTCCTCTCCCGCTTCCTCTCGTCCATCTGCATCACACCTCTCCCCTCAAGTCTCGATCACCCATAATGAGTCATCACCAACAGGAGCATGAGCCGATTGAACACTTACAGACGTCGATCACGGAACACCTATCGCAGCACCAGTTTAATGATAATCAACAACTGCGGTATGATATCCAGCAAGTAAATGTGCCAGGACCCAGCATTGCGGATCTCGCCACGTATTCACTCCTGTGTGAGCGGGTGACATATGCGAGGGTGTATGTGGACATAACACACCTGCCAGAGGGGAATCGACGAGGGTGTTCATTGAATTCCGCGCACTTCGGGTGACTGCCAACTTCACGCACAACATCGCCACGTTCATCGACGATTTGACACTCTTGGTGGAGTGGGTTCGGGAACCGGTACGGAAGTTTCTGCGGGAGTACGCAGTGCAGGTGGCTAGATCGGTGGCACGGGTGTAGGGATGGGCTGGCCATCGCTTCACGGCCTACGAATTGCTGCTTTGATGGGCGCTAGACGGCCAACTAGCGCTGGTACCTCAACTCCCCACACTCTTCCCCCCCGCTGACCCTCTAAACATCCAAGCCATTCCCCCTCCTCCATACTAAATGCCTCCCTTCTTCTCCTACACCACCCTTCCCAACTAACGGAGAGTCCCTACCCCATGCGTAACTTCTCGGAGTATCTCGTGGAGCTGGTCGACCTGGAGCCGTTGCCATTTGCAGACGAAGATGCGTGGGAGTTACATCGGGCGCTGTACCGATCGGTGGTGTTGGGCATGTTCCGATTCTACATGGAGCACAAGGAGCACAACGTCGGCGAGCACTTGTTCGTGTACTACGTGATTTCGAAACCCAAGCTGGAGCTGACGGAGGGGACAGTGGCGTTATACCCCTTCAGGAATATCGGAACGGACATGCTGGGACTGTTGGAGCTCATCCGAATTGAGCTGCTGTCCATTGCGCAAGTGATCGCCATCGAGGAAGGCGACCTCCAACTCCGGTTGCAAACAGCATCGGCTCCAAGGAGAACGTACCACGCGGTGGTTATACCAGATTAGATCACGCAAACGGGAGAAAAGGTGATAGACCTCAACTACGAGAATCAGCGTCGGCCTCCCTCGTCCTATCCAAGATCGTGCCCCCCAAAGACACCGAGGAAGGCCCTCAAGAAGAGGCGTCGGCAACCATCACCGGAAGCGCAAGGAAGCTGAGTAGGACCAGGTGAAGAAGTAGTCTAGCCAGTGCCTGTGAGGAAGTCCGACCCCGTACCGGAGAGTAAAGCCACACCGATCGAGGGACCTCTGCCTGGGGAAGGAGCCGGGACCAGAGGATCGCAGATATGCAGAAGCCACCCGGAGCAAACACCGCCACCACCACTCCTCCCCAGCCTCAATCTCGATGGAGCCGGCTCGTTACCACCAGCAGCACGAGGAGGAATGGGAGGAGTGCCATATCCCCCACCCAGACCCCCCATCCTCGTAGGACCTTTCCGCTTTTGGCAGCCACCCCGGGGTGCTTGGGTCATTCACCTTAGTAGTTCCTCAGAGTCGGAGCGTCCACCCGACCGACGTCGACTTCATGGTGGAGCCTGCAACGATCAGGCTCGAAGCAGACGAGGGGGCCCCTCATCCTGATCTCGCGTGGGTGCCGTTTCTACAACCGCCGTTTGAAGGATGCGTGGCGGCCAAAATGGCGGGGATAGTCATTTATGAGGCCGGCCGGTGACCGAATGTCATGTATCACTTCCTCATTCTCGTGGTGCTCAGAAGGGATCGGGGGTTGTATATTGAGACCCATCTGGTGATGACGGGCCCCGGGAACTGCACGGTGCGATGACGAATTGTCCGGGCCATTATTGATCTGGGGACAAATGTACTATCACATGTGTCGGGGGCTTTCTTTACCCCTCCTTTGTCCAACACCGCTTCAACGAAGTGGAGGCGCTGACGACCCCGGCTGCGCTCACAACCTTCGTTCCCCCTCTTCCTCTCCCTCTCAACCCTGAGATCAACCACTTCCTCTGAACCTTTTCTTCTTCTTCTTCTTCATGATAAGAAAGGTCGCGCGTCAACACGCGCTATTTATAAATTAAAAAAAAATTATAATAATGAAAAAATGATAATGATTGGCTGATTACTGATCGGGCCACCTGACGATGAAGTGGCCGCCCGATCGGGTGTATAATGGGGGGACAAATCGACAATGATGCAGGATGCATCGAAGTAGATTGGGAGATGACCCGGGTCAGTTGACGATGAAGTGGCCGCCTGAATCCTCATAATAATTAGGACATCACGATAGCAGTCAGGAGACTGCTGATTTTTCGAAACCCCTGTGCATCACAAATGTGATAAGCCTGGATCCGTACTCAAAGGCTTCCCGTACCCTTAAAGGGAAAATACCACGTAAGCCTCCAAGTACGGGTTCTATGTGATCGGGAAGAGCGGGGTTTAGCAGTCAGGAGACTGCTGATTTTTCGAAACCCCTGCGCATCACAAATGTGATAAGCCTGGATCCGTGCTCAAAGGCTTCCCGTACCCTTAAAGGGAAAATACCACGTAAGCCTCCAAGTACGGGTTCTATGTGATCGGGAAGAGCGGGGTNCCTGGATCCGTGCTCAAAGGCTTCCCGTACCCTTAAAGGGAAAATACCACGTAAGCCTCCAAGTACGGGTTCTATGTGATCGGGAAGAGCGGGGTGTATTTTTTTTTTCTTTTCCTTTTTCCTTCTATAAAAGAGAAGGAGGACGGAACAAAAACTTATTTTTCTTCTTCCGTAATTGCCCCTGATGACTTTTTCGCTCGAGCGGTTAATGACCATGCCGAAAAATCCAAGAAACCGTTAGGAATTAGTGTGGATGGGAATTTTGGTTTTTGCGCGCGCGGCTGTTTTTAAAATTTTTGCACGCCGTGTAAACCCCTTCCCCCGCTTGGCATCCCCACACCATCTTCCCTTCTTGCAGCGCGCTCCCTTCTTGCATGCCTTTTCGTCTTCCCTCAAACGAAGTCCGATCCTCTCCTTACCCGTCATCGCGAGCGATTGGCTGTGTGATTGGGATGGTCGTATCAGTGTGGTGGAAGCGGGAAGCGCGCACCACTTGAACGGCCACCCCAATCACACAGAATGCTCGACAAGCATCCTTCGATTTTTCTGGAACCTTATCCCTTCTTTTGTCCTGCTCATCTACACCCCGTGCTGTCTGCACCTCGCGCTGCCACCCCACCGCTTTCCGCACTATAAATTCTCGCAGCCCCTTCCTCTTGCTCTCTTTGATCTTGGTTGCAATACTGTGCGAGCTATGCGGGAGGTCCGCGGCGTTGAACAGGCTTAATGAGCCCAAGTGACAAGTGAAGTGACGATGTGGGACGGGCTTAGCGATAGACTTGGGGTAAGACAGTCGGAGGGATCGAGTGGTGGTGGAGATCGAACGCCGGCAGCGGCAGGGCCTTGTGGCTATGGTTGTCGGTGGTTCTGATCGGTTGGGGGCTGGGCCCAGGGTGGCCAGCCGTGTGAGGAATTTTACATACTGAGGAACTCACTTTTATCTCCATTGCTGCTTTGTCCAAGTGTGGTGTGTGCAATGTCCCGACGTATGGGTATTCAGTTGTATGCATGCTGTGGTACAAGAGTCTATGGATGTTCACTGTCTCCCTGACCAAGATGGTTGAACGAGCATATGTGTGGGCGCTTATAGGCGCGTTTCTGGGGAGTGCTAGGTGTCAACCGTCTGCATGGATGCATGAGTGTGTTGGATCTTTCTCCCTTCCCCGACCCTTTTTCTGATATTAACACCGTGTATATACGTGGGATTGACGCCCACGTTTTCCCCTTCTCTTTTCCTTCGGGCGCGCTGGAGATCCGGGTGAAACGGGCTGGCGTCGCCCCACGATTTACACTCGATAACCGAAGAGATCAGTCACTCGCGTCTCCGCGACTTGACAAGACCCTGGATCCCCGACCCAACATTCAGGTTGAGAGAGAGAGAGAGAGAGAGAGAGAGAGAGAGAGAGAGAGAGAGAGAGAGAGAGAGAGAG